ATCCTTGTATCCCTCGCTTCCCACCACCTACCCCTACCACTGCTTCCCGACTGACGCCTACTCGTCCAGCTACTGACAAGCCTTCTATTGCCTATTCTCCTACCATCGCCGAGAACGGCACTGTCGAGTCTCGCTCCGGTGATTGTCCGATAGCCTTCTACTCCCGTCAGCTCCTGCCCGCCGAGATAAACTACACCGCTGATGAACGTGAGGTTCTCGCAGTAATTTATGCCGCTCGGCACTGGCATCACCACCTGCACGGGGCACCGTTCACAGTGCGTACAGACAACTCTGTTGTCCAGGCTTTTCTGACAAAACCGAAGCTCACTCCTCGACAGGCTCGCTGGTGGCGCAACCTATCCGAGTTTAGTTTCACCACTGAGCACATCAAGGGTGAAACTAATCGGGTCGCAGATGCCTTATCATGGCGCCCTGACCACGACCAAGAGCACATCCAGCTCTCTTCCATCTCGGTCACCACCGTCCACCACTCGGTGATCGACGAGTTTCGCACTCAGTACCGCCACTGCCCCGACTATCGCGACATCCACGCGACCCTTCTTAGTGGCAAGACCTTCCCGAACTACTCTCTCGGGGACAACGGTCTTGTATACTGGCACGGTTCACAGGGCACCAGAGAGCCCCGTATTTGCGTTCCCTTCACTAGACAGCTACGTGTCCGAGCAGTAGCAGAGTTCCATGACCAGGCAGCTGCCGGTCATATGGGCTTCCACAAGGCGTTGGCTCGTGTGAGCCGCCTGTACGTCTGGCTGAAGCGCAAGAAATTTGTGAACGACTACGTCGCAGAGTGTCTGACGTGTCAGGAGGTGAACAGGTGCGAACCACTTGCCTTATGGTTTGCTCCAGCCTCTTCCTATCCCTGAGGGTCGTTGGCAGTCCATCTCGATGGACTTTATCGGTCCTCTTCGTCCTCCAACCCCTCGCGGTCATGATGCTATCCTGGTCGTCATCGACCGCTTCACGTAGCATGCACGCTTTGTTCCGTGCCGCTATACCATCAGTGCATGTGAGGTCGCCGACATCGTGTTCGACCGAGTCGTGCGTGACCACGGCTTACCTCTGAGCATCATATCTGACCGTGACCCGCGCTTTATCAGCCGATTCTGGCGACGGCTCCACGAGGTATACGACACTGAGCTCCGCTTCTCCTCGTCTTACCATCCTCAGACTGATGGTCAGACCGAGATCACGAACAGGACTCTCGGAGATATTCTTCGAAAGATTGTTCGTGACGACCAGCAGTGGGATCTTCATCTTGCCCACATCGTCTCGCCATCCACGGGGATGTCGCCTTACTATTGCGACCTCGGCTATCACCCTCGTGTTTCCGCGGACTTCCTTTGACCATCCCAGATGCACCCTGACACGAGTTGTCCCGCGCTGGATGATCGGGTTGCACACATGACGTCGATTATGAAGACCGCACATGAGCACATAGCCGCTTCCCACACTCGCATGGCAGTACGTGCGAACCGATCGAGAATGAATCATCCATTCAAAGTCGGTGATGATGTGCTTATCGACGCCCGCTACTTACAGCTCGAAGCAGACACGCTTCGCAAGTTTCGGCGTCGCTTATTTGGCCCATGCCGCATCCTCCAGGCCGTCGGTTCTAATACGGCATCTAGCCCGGTCAGCTTTCGTGTGAAGCTGCCCGACTACCTACGCCAGGCTCGTGTGCATGATGTCTACCACGTCTCGTTACTGCATCCTTATCGCAGACCGTCTGAGCGATTCGCTGAACGACCATATGAGCGCCCTCCACCCATCATGGTGGACGGTCACGAGGAGTTCCTCGTTTCAGACATCATTGGTCGCCGAGTCACCGACGACAACCTTCCCCACGTCGAGTATCTCGTACGTTAGAAGGGTTACCTTGATGAGGAGGCTACCTGGGAGCCCCTCGAGCACTTGCAGCACGCTCGCATGTTGGTGCGTGCCTATGACCGTGCTCGTCGTGCTGGGTTCACTGCTCCTCCTCAGCCCACTGACCCTCCTCCT